ATTTCAAAGAAAGACAAACTGTATCGCCATTAAATTCATGAGCTGCTTATATTTTAACTTTCATGAAACATTTACTTTTTTTAAGTTCAGTAACAATTTATTCATTCTTGAACAAAATTTATTTCTAATTGTAATTGTGTTTTCCTGAAGAAACACAATTTACAATTTTATTAAAATCTTTGAAGAATATTATGTAGATTTCGAAAAAAAATTATATTATGTTAATATTTTATCAAAATATTACTTCCCTCGGAAGACATGACAATATAATCATAATATTTCGGAAGAATATTAACCAAATTTTCTTGAAGAAGTAATATTAAAATTATTTTTTTAAAAAAAATTAATGATAATAAAATCTTGATTGTGCTCTTTAAGTAGCATGTATTTTGAAAAATATTACTTACTCTTAAAAAGTATAACATTATAATTTCAATATTTCAGAAAAATATTGACTTATTGCTATTAAAGAAGCATATAATATTACATATTAGTATTATTAAAGAATACCGTAAGAAGCACAGATTTTTATGTACCAATATACTAGAAGAACATTTTGTTGCTTATAAAGAAACTGACATTTATATTATGTCAATATTATAGCAGAATATTACGTGCTAATGAAGGGCATAACTTCAAAATTATAATATTTATCAAGAATATTGTTTTATTGCTTCTTAAGAGCATAATTTTATAACTTTCAATACTTGAAAAATATTAATGATTATGCTTTGGTTCCAAAGTAGCACAATTTTTTTTTTTTAAAATCATATAATTTATAATCATATTTAACTATGTTTATGTTCCCGAAGAAGCTAACTAAATACGATATAATCAAATATCATATCAATAATTTCGATGAATAAAGTGTTGATATTTTTAAAAGAAAAAACACAATTCAAGTATATAAATATTCTAGAAATTTTAAAATTGTTCTTGAAATAGAATCAATTAATAAGTTTAAATATTCAGAAGAATATTACGTTTAATCTAGTGAAGACAATGTATTTTTGATAATGGTAAAAACTAATGTGAGTAAAATATGAGATCATGCAAACCTTATTCAAAACTTCAAAAGAGTTTATAAAACGTGCCATAATTAGTACATTATATTAGTATTAGTATAATTGAAGCATATTCTATATTGAGCTACAAGTTCAGCTTGATTTCATTATTTGGCATGATTGATGAGACCATTCTTGCTTAACAATGATGGGAATTTTTTTATCGAGAATTCGAATGCACATGCAATGAAAAACTAGAAGTTTCTTCAATTCAATGAATTTACATATATATTATTTTTTCTAAGTTTCTTCAATTCAATGAATTTACATATATTACTTTTTCTTTCTATTGAAAAGTATTCATTAATAATTATTACTAGTTAAAGTTGGAACTATACCCCTAAAATCTTGAAAATTATTTTGGGCGATATATGAGGTACTATCACCCTCCATGTTGACCATATAGACATTATTTTGTATCTTGATACATCTACTAGATGATTGCCTGGTGTTCCTAACTTGAATTTTGCAAAATTATTGCTCAACTTTTAAATTATGAGCATAATTTTCAAATAATACAATCAAGATGGTATC